TTAATACTTGATACCACCAGCTACTATGCACCCGTAGAATTCAAAGGGTAGACTCTCTTGAGATTCACACAACGTATTACTACTAGGCTTATTTTTACATCCTAAAGGACTCCGAAAATTTCCTTCAGAGTGATGACATGCTGCATAGTATTTGAAGCTACCTACGGTGAGAGTAAATCCAGTCAAACACAAAGGACAAAGTCTTGCCCGAAATGCTAAGGAAAGTGAAGTCATCTATTAACAACAACAACAACAACAATAAACCTAGTGATATCCCACAAATTGAGTTCTGGGGAGGTTAGAATGTACGCAAACCTTATCCCTATCTTACGAAGGTAGATAGGTTGTTTCCGATAGACCCTCGGCTCAAAAGAAAAAAAAACTAAAAAGGAAGCAGAAACAACAAGTAGTAACCATAACAAGCAAAAGTAATATAATAACCGAAGCGAAAAACGACATATAGTAAAAGAAATATGCAAATACGAAGAAATGAAAGTACGAGACTAACGCTAATGAGACCGGCATATAAATAAGACATGCCCACTTAACCACTACCCTTCTACCCTAATTCTCAAGCTCTGTACTTTCCTATCAGGGTCATGTCCTCAGTAAGCTAAAGTAGCGCCATGTCATGCCTAATCACCGCTTCCCATTCTTCTCAGGCCTATCTCTGCCTCTCCTCAGCACCCCCCCCCCCTCCCCTACCCATAGCTAACCTCTCACACCTCCTTACTGGGGCATCTATACACTTCCACTTCACATGCCCGTACCATCTCAATCTAACTTCCTTCATCTTGTCCTCTACGGGTGCCTCCCACCTTTTCCCGAATATCAACATTCCTTATCTTATCTAACCTAGTATTCCCACATCTTAGCATCCTCATTTCTACTACTTTCTTCTTCTAGACATAGGTATTCTTAACAGGCCAACATTGTGCCCCATATAGCATAGTAAGTCTAACCACCACTCTGTAAAACTTACCCTTAAGTCTAGGTGGCACCTTCTTATCACACAAAACCCCGGAAGCGAGCCTCCATTTTATCCATCCCCCTCTAATACGATGTGTGACATTCGTCAATCTCACCATTACCTTGGATAATATATCCGAGGTACTTGAAAATTCCCCTTCTTAGGGATGACTTGTGAATCCAACTTCACTTCCATACTAGCATCATCGGTCACGTCGCTGAACTTGCATTCCAAGTACTCTGTTTTAATCCTGCTCATCTTGAAACCTTTTGACTCCAGGGTTTGTCTCCAAAACTCCAGCCTCGCGTTAACACCACCTCGCGTCTCGTCAATAAGTATTATATCATCCGCAAATAACATGTACCATGGAACCTCCTCTTGAATGTGCTGCGACAGAACATCCATCTCTTAGGCAAATAAAAACAGGCTAAGTGTGGATCCCTGATGCAAGCCCATCCCGATAGGAAAGTGTTCCGAGTCCCCTCCCACCATCCTAACTCGTTCTTAACACCATCATACATATCCTGGATCATCCTAGTATAAGCTATGGGCACACCTCTAACCTCCGAACACCTCCAATGAACCTCCCTCGGAACCTTGTCATAAGCTTTTTCTAAGTCGATAAACACCATATGCAAGTACTTCTTACTATCCCTATACTGCTCCACTAGTCTCCTGATAAGGTGAATGGCTAGGTCTAGTGAATTCTTAAACACTCATGCTAGGTATAATATAGCAGAAGGAAGTAGAAAAGGCATCAAGTAAGAGTCTAAGAGTAAGAAATTACTAACGATTAAAAGTAATAAACCTGAATATTTCAACATTCTAAAACTTAGCAACTATTATCTAGTATTTAGGGGAGGAATAGTACTTGAAAGCCAAGTGATTGCTCCACATTATAAGAGAAAAGATAATGATTTTGTATTACGCGTGCAGGGCATTATCCAAACTAGTACATGCCAAGATATGAACCTGTAGAACAGATTTTGGTGATGGACTGGTTGCTTCAGATTATGAAATGAGAAGTCCCAAAAAATTTTCAAAAAGACCTAACGTAACGATCCAACAGGTTGTTAAGAATTCACTAGACCTAGACAGGATTACTTTTGTTCCCCTATTAATAGATGTTTTATGACTTGCATGTATGGTTAGTTCGGGTCCCGGGAGGTTCGGGAGTGATCTGGAATACTTAATATCTAACTAGAGGCTTAAAGTTAAGAGAGTTGACCAAAGTCTAACATTTTGGGTAAACATACTCGGCATCTTGATTTGAAAGTTCTTATAGGTTCGTATGATGATTTTGGACTTGTACGTATATACGGATTAGGACCATAGGGGCTCGGGTGCAAATCGGCACTATTGCATGAAAATTAAAAGTTTAAGGTCCATAACCTTGACTGGAGAGTTGATTTTGTGTTGCAACATTTTTATTTGTGTTTTGAGCCTTTGGACAAGTCCATATAGAGTATTTGGAATTGTCGGGATGGTTTGGAGGGGGCTCGATTGAGTTTTGGCATTTTTGGAGCAAGTTGTTGAAAGATTTGATGTGCCAAAAAATAATTTTCAGCACTTGACCTGACTTTACGAAATAACTGATCGCAATCTAAAGAGAATTTGGAGATGATCCAAAAATGAAAAGTATATCCCTTTGAATCTAGTTTCCAGAAATTCAAATCGTTCGTCATTCCGACATATGTACGAAAAGTTATGATTATTTTAATAAAGTAAGGGTAATGTTATAATTTTGCAAAATCGGCACTAAAAATCTCTGCACCTTGTCTATATAACCTCATTTAGTACTTGGACTTTATTTTATCATTTTGGGTGCTAGAGGACTCGGAATGAGGCGATTTTTCAAGAGATTATACCTAAGACGATGGGTAAGTGATTCTCACTCAAATTTATGATTATAACATGATCTATCATCGGTTTTTTCCTTAGAATCAACGATTCAAAAAGGAAAAGGAATTTTTAACTTGAAAGTTAAAAAAGTGTATTTTGGGGTTTTGAATACCGATTTGCACTCGAGTTGTCCGGGTTTTGACCACATAGGCCCAGGTTGACTTTTTGTTGGCTTTTGAGATTTTGTTAATGATCGAAGCTTTATCATTTGAATTGAGTTCAATAGCTTTATTTGAATTCTTTGAGTACTCTTTGGGCTAGATCGGGCTCGTTTGATGGATTTGGAGCTAAAAAGGCGGATTTTGAAGAATAGATCCAGCCCGGGATAAGGTACGTATCTTGCTTAACCTCGACTTGAGGCAATTTTTTCTAAAATAAGACTTATATGATAAATGCTACGTGTTTGGGAGTGACGTATATGCGAGGTGCAGAGCGTATATGCAGATATCAAGGTTGTACCATGCTGGGGTAGATTGGCTTCTTTATGCCTTGTTTTGGTACATGTTCTACTTGTAACATGCTTCACTCGTTTGTATGACTACTTGAGCATTATTATGCATGCTAGAGACTATGTTTAGGCTTTTGGTATTTTATTTGGGCATGATGGGCTAAATGTATGTTGGATTACATGTTATAACTGTGGTGCATATGCATACACCATATGCATATGCCATGCATATTTATATCTCTTGTACATGTGCATTGCATCATGCATGTCAATCTCTCATGTACATGCATGGTGTGGATGAGAGTGATATTGGCACGATAGGTGTTTCCGTGCGATATATATATATATATATATATATATATATGGATGGTTAGTATGAGAAGGATATTGGCACGATGGATGTTTCCGTGCGGATTAATATATATATATGCATGGTAAGGATGAGAGTGATATTGGCACGATGGGTGTTCTGTGCAGATTGATGATTGATTATAGAGCTCTCCAATATGGCGCATGGAATGGATCTATCCCTCCGGAGTCACGTGATTACCTATGTTACCTTGGGCTGTGTGTGTGCAGGTTGTGAGAAACCGACTGGTTTCTGGTTTGACATGAGATGCGCGTATTCATGCATTCTTATATGCATCATTCATGCATATCATTCTTAGATGCTACTCGGTGCATTTTACATATGCATGAGACTTATTAGTAGGTTGTCGGACACTCGGAGGGTGTCCGTTGATGTAAAGTTTGAATCTATCATGCATAGACATTCTAGACTCATGTAAAAGCATTCGAATAAATGTTGCTTGACACGTATCTCCTTTATATGCGGATTAAATGCATTGATATATGCTTTTGATCATGATATCTAAGAAAAACATGCTTCCTATCTTGTACTTCGATTGTGCACCTTATTATTCATATTTGTTGCTCCTTGATTGTTTCACTATTTTTGTATATGCTTATGAACTGCACAGGTTATATAAAGTGAGTATCTTTTGACTAAATACCGCCACTACTTCATTGAGATTTGTCTTGATACTTAATGAGTACATGGGGTCGATTGTACTCATACTACACTTCTGCACCTTGCGTGCAGATTCTAGAGTTGAGTTGTTGCAAAGTTCGAAAGCGAGCACTGAAGACATATCAACATCTTAGTTATCACTTGCTATTTGTTCATGGTAGCCTAGGATCTTATATTTCTATTTATGTATATTCAACCTCATAATGTACTCTTTCATATCTGCAGAGTATTCTTATTTCTAGTTGCTCATGACTTGTGACACCACTTCTTGGAGTAGTTTGTATTAAATTTCGTTTCTTATTTTATTATTTATTTGATGTTCAGTTTAGGTTGTCTTGTATGTTGTTTAGTTCGCCTAGCGGGTTGGGTTAGATGTCATCACGACTTGGTGGGATTTGAGTCGTGAAACCTATCTACTAACAAGGAGACTTGTTGCGAACCTTTTCTATACTTATCCCGGAAATCGCTTATACTTGCAACATGGAGGAGTGATCAGCCAATTTTTACATGGAGAAGCCGGCATCATTTCACTAAGATAGAAAAGATCCTCTATTAATTAAAGATTCCAAAAGGATATGTTATTTGTATGGTACTGAGTTACTAGCCTCTCTCCATGTGTTATTTTCTTTTACCAGAATGAGAAAACGAAATTTTCAAAAGATAAACTAATGAGCTGTATCATCATATATGCTTGCAGGCCAAATATAATTCATGGTAAACATGATTTAACCATAGAGGACTGCTTAGGTAAGAGGGAACCAAGTGCAAAGTCAGATTAGTGGAGCATTGGGAGGACAACTGTACATACTGACAACAGACATCACCAATAAACAATTGCCTGTAAGGATTACAGAGCAACTGGAGTTGCTGTATTCCTAATGATATGGAGGCGTTGATTGAACACACAACTCCGACTCATCTTCTTCATCATCGTCGTCATCTGCATCTACCCAGTTACTAGGATGGTGTTGAGAAGCATGACCTTTCAAATCTGTCATGCCTGAAGAACACAATTGGAGCATCTTAAGCTGATTAGACTAGAAAAATTAAAATGACCAGAGTTGGAATCTGACTAACCTTGAGGTTCTTCCAAATGATTTCTGTCCTCAGAAGGGAAGCTAATGGATATTGTCAAGAAAAGCCACTTTCGTCTGGGAAGTCCACTTATAAAATACTTTGAATTTCACACCTATTTTCAAATTCACCATCAAAATCCATTATCTCGCTCACATAGATCATCTGGATGATTGGAGCATGTGTATCTGCGTGTATGTGTGTGTGTGTATGCAGTTTCGTCTAGTTACTATGTCCATCCTAGATACCGCTAGGGGCTGTCTGGTTAAGGGACTACTTAAACAAGGGTTTATAACATGAATTGCTATGCAATGAATAATAATCTAGGGATTGATATGCAGGGACTGCCTACTTTAAGGGTAATTTTGTCTTTCCGATACTTTATCCTTGAATTGTTAATATACATTATCATTTCAGATTCTATCCCGCATAAAATAATATTTAGATTCACGTATAAATTATGCATGCACGTATATAGAGTTTAATATCGGAAACCAACGCTGCATAAGTTATGTAGAGTTTTATACTTGAAAACTATTTAAGTAGATATTACATCAGTGATGCAGAGCTTTAATATTTCAAATGAAAGAGTGTATTAGATAAGGAATTTCATTGGATTACTTTTCTTATGAGGTCAGCCAAATGACCGCTTAACGTAAAGAGAGCTGACTCAGCATAACATGTTATCCACTACAACCTGGAACAACCACGTGGAAAATGCAGAAGAAAATATGCAAGAAATTTGAAACGGTTGATATAGGTGCCCTGTCGTATAAATACCTTCCCATTATATTAGCTTCAGATGGACAAAGGTTTATAGTTTGGGACCAAAACCTCATACTTCTTACCCCTCGATAGGTTTGTAAAATATGTACCTATAATTGAAACTTTTGGCAAACCAATTTTACTTGACATGTTGGCTAGCTTTAACCACTTTAGCTTATGTTTTGCAGTTAATAATAGGTTTAAAAATGGAGCATTAAAATTGCTAATAACTTTGACAGCAAAATAAGTTTAGGATACTCATTATGTATATCAGACATATCTCTTCCAGCAGCTCCAGCTTCAGAAATGTGTATTGCACCAATTCGGTGAATTTCCCTTAGTTCAATATCATTTTCATTTCTACCCCCTCCAGGTTCAGCACCATTACCACCTTTTGTTCTGCTTCCTGTTTTTTAGTTGAAATTTATGACAATTAAGTAAATATTACCATCAAATATCTTGTACCATCTATAAACAAGAGTTCAGAGAATAATAACCTGAAAGATCGGACCAAATCCTGGTCTGATCAGATGGAAGCCCAGAATTCCCTTTTGATCTCTCCTGGGGTGGGGCCTGTCTTCCATCATTAGCCTCACCGTGGGAAGTGCCAGCAACTTGTGGATTTTCAGAGGAGCCAGCAGTATTGAGCTGGGACATAAGCATGGTTGCAAGTACCAAGGTGGCATCAAAAGTTGAGATCGAGCCATCATCTAAACCAAATTTTGGCGTCATTAGAATTGGCCTGTCCATGATTTCAGTTCAATTAGAAGAAAATCTTATATGAAAACAAAAAACTTGTGCCTAAAACAGCAAAGAAGAAATCTACTAAAGAATTGAAATTGTACGACATTAAAAAAGTCATAATAATTGAAGGGACACACATATGCACACAAATGCACATTCATTAGTAGTTTAACATGGTCCATACACTAGATCCACGAGACTCCGAAGTAGTATGTACTGGGTCCAGTAACAGGTAAAGCCAAAAGTTGCGACCCGTCTTGTCAGGAGAGATGGCCAACCTTATCTCCCACAATAATCAACTGCAATTAATTTAAACATACTAGCCAAATTGATTAAGTAGCAGACATGTCTTTGGACGTTATTGCGTTCACCTTTTCTTTCATTTTCTTAGTAATAGTAAGTGAATATCCTCATTAAGCCGTTTTACAAAAACCATACAATCTAAATTATCATTGTGATGAGAGCAGATTAGTATTATACTCCTTTGAATTACTGATCAACCATCCAAGCCAACAAGTGCTGATATGGAGAATGTCCTGACTTCACAATAGCTTTCTGTGCAAATATCCTAAACGCAAAGAGTTCCTCTTACTGAAGACAAGGACAGGGTAAAAAAAAACAACGACGAACTGATGTCAATGGAGAAGCAGAGTGAGATTATCTTACTCGCCAGCTTTATCAAAATAGAAGTGTATGTCAACTTCACATCCCTCACAGAAAGAAAGGAAGGCCTGAATAGAAAATTTGCAAAAGAAACAAAAAAGAAGGTTCAGCAAACATTACAAAGACCTCCATAAAACACAAGAACTATTTTACAGCAACAAAATTGTGATTACATGTCATCAATGAAATAAATGAAGAAAAAGGTTTCAGACTTGGAAAAGGCTTAGTTGGATTAGAAAAGTTCCTATCAGCGACGAGAAACGAGGATACCTTCGATTCCTTCACTCCAAAGGTCACATCCACAGGGTTTCCGATATGATTGTACTGCACAAACTCTTCAGTAGGATCTATCCACAACTGAGTGTGTAGTGATGAATCATTGTCTACAAAGAAAGATCTAAAGTTTAAAACTGCCTACAAACAAGAAAGAGAAAACAAAAAGAAAATGGAAAAAAAGAAGAGACTGACCCAGTATACCTTTTGTTGGGTCTATATAACTTCTGAGCTCAACAGCTTTCCCTCCAATTTCAGTTGCAGCATCAGGAGGCAAGGAAGTTGGATTGGTAGCAATGATTGTGATCTCCTGAAGGGTTGTCTGGAAGTTGGACAATAACCTGTTCAGATCACGAGGCCTCACCACAAAGTTGCTTGGAAGCTTTCTCCTATCAAGGGATAGGTGTTGTATGTCAGGTTCAACATTGCAAGTAATCCAATAAGCTTTCCTCATACCTGTAAAATTAGCATGGTGGTGCTATACATCAACTGGATCATCTAAGTTGTACATATCAAGTAATCTGAAAGATTAAGCAGGTCATGAGGCGTTGAGAGATGTATGGGAAATCTCTAACTCCTCTTGATGTATTCAATGGTGCAAATCATTCCTTCATGATACAAATTGTGAAAGCTCAACTGAAAGACTGCTAATAAGTGCTCGGGAAAGTTTAAAACAGAAAATGTTGAAAACTATTACAAGTAAAACTATTAAGCATTACTTCCAGGAGATTAAAATATAACAAATGTAAGCATAACACTTCCAGGAGATTAAAATATGACAAACTACATAGTCGCAATATTCCAATGATACTCCTGTAAGAATCTGGCAAAAAAGAGTATGTAACATATATTATTTTTAAGTTGTTTCAAATTTCGTACTTGGAAAACCCAGGTTCCTTAAGATGCATCCCTAAAGATAGAGATTTTATACTAGAAAAGCCAAACTATTGTTTACTTCTGAGATTATCTTGCTAAATTTCCACATTAATTTTACAATTATTTTGTAATTATCTGTTTAGATTCTTATGATGTCAAATTTATCTATTAGATTATACTTGATTTTTTCATTTATTACATCCTATTCATTGTTATTATAACTTGCTTTAGTTTGAAATTATCTTTATCATTTAATTAGATAGGATCTGAAAACTACGGATCTTTTTATTATCTCTCCCTCACCTCTCCTATAAATTCCCCTCCGTATCTTTTCCTTACCTTTCTCCTTTCTCTCTTTTTAGTACTGCATCGATCTTAGTATAGGAGCATAAATTCTAATTCATCGCGTGGCACTCTTAATATCCATATCTGTGAACATAATCATCACACTCTCCTCTACCAAATAACCCCATCCTCAGCATTCAAATGAAACCTGCTTTTGTCAAAGGCTCATTTAAGGCGTGCCTAAACCCTGAAGTCCAGAAAAGCTCAAGGACGGTATTTCGCCTCGCTTAAGCTACGCTTCAGTGTAGGGAATGCACTAAGGCGGGAGCATTCATTTCTCATGAGTTCTATCTTGAATGGAGCGGTACTAAACAACAAATATAATCGGCAAAGAAGTATATTAGTTGTTGAGGAAAACATTAAGAATGAATTTATTACTTTTTCTGAACTTACATATATAATTGTATTTTTGTCCTTCATTGTGCCTTTTTTACCAAAGCCCATGCTTAAATTGCGCTTTGCGCTTAAAGCACCTAAAGCGCTTTTTAGAGCTTTTTGCCTTTGACAACACTGGTTTCACGACATCGGTGCAGCTACGGTAGGGAGGTTATCTCGACAATCACTCTCAGTTATTTTGAGATTTTGGAAGTTGGGGACAATATTAAGGTTCTGCAAGACAGTATAAAAAGTAACGACTTGACCACCTTGAGGAACTTGTCTTTCCGCTCAATACTGAGTTAATGTAAGGTGATTCAATAATTTTTTTCCCATGCATAACCATGAAAACCTTGCAAAAGGAAACCCTTCTCAGAAAGAACCCATAAAAACTATCACTCGGTGAAAGGATCAACAGTCAAGATAATAATATCATTCTGTTTTATTTATCCTAATCATTGATTACAGAGGGTCAAGTTTTCGCCCACCAAGACAGCATTATGCAGCTTCTAAAAATGAGATATTTTATATCAGACCCTAGATTTTTTCAAATTAGTTTACATTTATTTCGTTTTTATTCTTTAACCAAATTATGATTAGATAAATATATTTTATCCCGCAGTAGGGCAGCCCGGTGCACTAAGCTACTGCTATACACGGGGTCCGGGGAAGGGCGGACCACAAGGGTCTGTTGTACGCAACCTTACCCTGCATTTCTACAAGAGGTTGTTTCCACGACTCGAACCCGTGACCTCCTGGTCACATGGCAGCAACTTTACTAGTTACGCCAAGACTTTATCCCGCAGTATTATTACAAAATTTAGTTTGATTTTACCATTGTCCTTTTTCAATATTGAGTCTCAGTTCTCTTAAGAGTTCTATTTTGTTCATTTTCCCTAATTTATAAATAGGAACATTAATTTATTTATTTTTGTGCGGTAAAGATTACAAATAGGAATATAGTGTATATTGTTCTAATGAATATATTAGTCTAAGAACCATTGGTTGGTTTTTGAACTTGAAGGGTTCGACGTGAGCTTATTTTAGACAAATACCACATTGGAATGGAGGGGAATGGAGGGGGCCTAAAAGGACGAGCTGGGAATTCAATTTTTGAGGGGTCTTTTAGATTTGTTAAATAGTAAGTATTGTATAGTGTCCCACATCGGGAAGTAGGTACCTATTATTATGTAATCAACGTATATAAATAGGGCATTGTACAACACTTTAGTCATAATTAATAAAACTTTCCCGTGCTATACTTCTCACATGGTATCAGAGCGTTAGTGAGAAACATCCATGAAAGAAAACTCCGCCAGACAGTCGTTGTGTGTCAATTTCCGGCGACTTTTAGGGTTGTTATTGCGTCACCTATGTTTCCCTCAGTGTTGTCCTAAAACCAACACCACCGCATGGTCCTACACCCTCCTGCGACCAAACCCCAGCAAACCCCACCAAAAATTACCACCACACGCGCTGACCATAAGGAGGAAAATTCCGACGAGATCTCTTCACGCGTGAGCTGCCCTCCGGCCAGTTTTTGACAAAAGTTCTTTTGGACAGCTTGCTCGCGAAGCTATTTCGAGCATATCCATCAGGTTTCATCAAATTCCGACGGCTTCTTTATTTTCCGGCGAGATTTCTGGCGATTGTTCAGTTTCGGGCAAGATACAGTGTTTTTTCTTCACTATTCCTGCGAGCTTTTTATTGTTCTTGATTGTCTATGCTATTTGGTCCAACAATGTCTTTGGGACTTGATATTTTTGGTTCTAAAAATACGGGTTCTGGAAATTCAAGTTTGATGGTTACTTCGGAATCCTTAATGGAAGTTCAAACTACTTAGCCCGGACTTCTTCTGTTGAGTTGTGGTGCAAGGGTCAAGGTGTTCAAGATCACCTAGCCAAGAAGACTAGTGATGGGGATAAAAAGGCCAAAGCACTCTAGGAGAAAATTGATGCTCAATTATGTTGTTTGTTAAGGCAATCGATGATTCCAAGTTAATGCCTTTGTTTCGTGCATTCCAGATATGTTATTCAGTTTGGAAGAAGGCTCGTACTTTATACACTAATGATATATCTCATTTTTATGATATGATATCTCTAATGACAAACTTAAAGAAACAGGAATTTGGATATGTCTACCTACTTGGGACATTGGGACAAGTACAGGCAATTATGGAGGAATTTGAAAAGTTGATGCCAGTCACGGCTAGTGTTGAAAAACAACAAGAGCAACGACAGAATATGTTTCTAGTTCTTACACTTACTGGACCGCCTAATGACCTTGACTTAGTGAGAGACCAAATTTTGGCTAGTCCTTCGATTCCTACAGTTGCTGAACTATTCTCTAGATTGCTTCGTCTTGCTGCGCCACCCAGTCACACAGTGGTCTCACCACCAACTGTTGACTCCTCTATTCTCACATATCAAACAATGGAAAACCGGATATCTCGGGCTATGGAGAATCGACGAGAAGGTCGTTTTGGGAGATCTCAACCCAAGTGTTCTTATTGTAATAAACTTGGACACCCTCGTGAAGTGTGCTATTCTTTACATTGTCGACCACCCAGAAACGCTCGTGTTGCTCAGACCGAGACTACAAGTAACCAAGGAATTTCTTTATCTGAAGGGGAATATAATGAGTTACTTCAGTATCAAGAAAGTAAGCAGGCATCTCCACAAGTAACCTCTGTTGCTCAGATTGATGCTCCAGTTGCTGGTAATTCTTTTGCTAGTATTTCTCAGTCTAGTACTCTTGGATCGTGGGTCATGGACTCGGGAGCTTTTCATCATATCTTTGGTAATAAATCACTTCTGTCGAATATTGTGTATTCACATTCTCTTCCTACTGTTACTTTAGCTAATGGGTTCAAAACTAAAGCAAAAGGAGTTGGACAAGCTAATCCCTCATCTTCTGTCACTCTAGATTTCGTTCTTTATGTCCCTGTCTATCCTTTTAGTCTTGCATCTATCCTTTTAGTCTTGCATCTGTTAGTCATTTGACTCGAGACTTCCATTGTTGTATATATTTTATTGTTGATTCTTTTATTATGCAGGACCGCAGTACGGGGCAGACGATTGGCATATGGCTTGAATCACAAGGTCTTTACTACCTTAACTCACTCAATTCCTCCACAGCATATCCAGTTAGAGATCCTCGAGACAATGGTGCCTAGTTTGTCTAGTTTATCTACATTAGATTGTAAGTCGTGTCAACTTGGGAAACATACCTGAGCCACCTTTTCGCGTAGTGCTGAGAGTCGTCTAAAGTCAATTTTTTTTTAGTTCATTCTGATATATAGGGGTCCTAGTAGAGTTAGTTCAACCTTAGGATTTCGTTATTTTGTTTGTTTTATTAATAATTACTCAAGATGTACTTGGATTTTCCTAATGAAAGATCATTCTGAGTTGTTTTCTATGTTCCAGAATTTTTGTGCTGAAATTAAAAATCAATTTGGTGTTCTATTCGTACTTTTCGTAGTGATAATGCTTTAGAGTACTTATCCTCTCGGTTTCAGTAATTTATGACCTCTCAAGGAATTATCCATCAAAAATCTTATCTGTGTACTCCCCAGCAGAATGGGTAGCAGAGAGAAAGAATAGGCAGCTCAATGAAACTGCTCGCACATTTCTCACTCAGTCCCATGTCCCGCTGCATTTTTGGGGCGATGTAGTTCTTACAGCTTGCAACTTGATTAATCGAATGTCTTCATCTGCTATCCAGAATCATATTCCACATTCAGTATTGTTCCTTCGGTCACCCTTATACTCTCTTTCTTTTCGTGTTTTTGGGAGTACATGTTTTGTTCACAACTTAGCTCCTAGAAAAGATAAGTTAGCTCCTCGTGCTCTTAAGTGTGTCCTTCTTGGTTATTCTCGAGTTCAAAAGGGGTATCGCTGCTATTCACCTGACCTTTGTAGGTATATAACAACCATTTATTATACAAGCCAAAAAATATCGTAACAAACGAGGCGGTTATAGAGAGGTTTGACTGTACAATTTTTCCATAATTTTTTTTAGTTTTCAAATGAAGAGTGCATAACTGAAAGTTAGGGGAATCAAGAAAAGAAAAAAGGAGATGGTTGAAGTGTCGGAAATTCACATGTTTGAAGGATCACTGAAAGCTTATGGAAAATAATCAAAGGACTGGTGGCAGAGTTACTCGGTACTGTGCTGGTGGAAGGTAGCAGATGCTCGATGGAATAGTCGAGGTGTGCGCAAGTTGGCCTGGACACCACCATCATTAAAAAAAATGCAAAGGACTGGATTAGGTAGTCAAAGGAACTATAACTTATTTTTTTTAGATGAAAAGTGGATAACGGTTGACTACATTATTATCTTAGAAATTGATTTGGCAAATTAAGTCTTTAAAGTTGGATTATTCACGTAGATTCACGTAGTATCTGTAAATACCTAGTGTAAAGGATTAGGCAAATTAGACACTTTTAGATGCAATTGTATTCTACACAAGCATCAGAGGCTGTCTAATATAGCTTTTACACTTTCAACAACAATGGACTGCTCTGTTCTTTTCTGAGAAATGTTAAGTGTGTATTATTGGATCATGTACTAAGCATGGTCAAGTTGCTTTATTTTTATTGTTCCTTGAGCCGAGGGTCTATCGAAAACAACCTCTTTACCTTTATAGAGTAGGAGTAAGGTTTACGTACACACTACCCTCCACGGACCCCACTTTTGGAATTACACTGGATTTTTTGTTGTTGTTGTTGTTGTTGTTGTTGTTAACCTTACTTAACTTCTTTTAATCATCTTAATATATCTGAGATCTTACCTGTACCTACTTGTGAGGAATCCACATCAACAGCACCACCACAACCACAACTACTTATACATACTTTTGAGGAGTCTACAATTGCTCTTCCTACATCCCAGCCGCAAGGCCACCACTCTTGACTTATCATTGTCGTCCACGTCCAGCATCAGGCCAGGTAATTCACGTCCCAGCATCAGATTCCGCACCTACTGTGGACTTGTCTCCTCCTAGTCCATCCAATTGCACCTCCAATTGCACTCCGAAAAGGTGTACGATCCACACTTAATCCTAATCCCCATTATGTCGGTTTAAGTTATCATCGTCTATCATCACCTCATTATGCTTTTATATCATCTTCGTCCACTGTTTCCATCCCTAAGTCTACAGGTGAGGATGGCGACAGGCTATGGTTGACGAGATGTCTGCTTTACATGCGAATGGCACTTAGGAGCTTGTTCCTCTTCCTTCAGGTAAGTATACTATAGGTTATCGTAGGGTTTATGCGGTCAAAGCCGACCCAGATGGCCAGGTTGATCTGCTTAAGGTTTGTCTTGTTGCATAAGGATACACTCAGATATTTGGGCTTGATTATAGTGACACTTTCTCTCCCGTGGCTAAAGTAGCATATGTTCGCCTCTTTTTGTCCATGGTTGTTGTACACCATTGGCCTCTTTATCAGTTAGACATTAAGAATGCTTTTCTCCACGGTGTTCTTGAAGAATAAGTTTATATGGAGCAACCACCTGGTTTTGTTGCTCAAGCAGAGTCTAGTAGTCTTGTATGCCGATTGCGCAGGTCACTATTGGTTTGAAACAATCCCCTCGAGCTTGGTTTGGTAAGTTCAACACAGTTATTCAGGAGTTCAGCATGACTCGTAGTGAAGCTGATCACTCTATGTTTTATCGGTATTCTGCTCCTAATCTGTGTGTTTATTTAGTGGTTTATGTTGATATTGTTATTACTGGCAATGATCGGGATAGTATTACTAATCTGAAGCAGCATCTCTTTCAGCACTTCCAAACTAAGGATCTGGGCAGAATGAACTATTTTCTAGCTATTGAGATCGCTCGCTCAGTGCTCAGGTATTATTATTTCACAACGAAAGTATGCCTTAGACATTTTTGAGGAGACTGGAATGATGGGCTGCAAACCTGTTGCCACTCCTATGGATCCGAATGCTAAGATTCTGCTAGGACAGGGGGAGCCTCTTACCGATCCTACGAGATATAGGAGGTTGGTTGGAAATTGAATTACCTCACAGTGACTATGACTATACCTGACATTTATTTTCTTTTCCTGTGAGTGTTATAAGTCAGTTTATGGATTCTCCCAGTGATAGTCACTGGGATGCCGTTGTTCGCATTCTTCGCTATATAAAGTCAGCTCCAGGCAAAAGATTACTATTCGAGGATCGAGGCCATGAGCAGATTATTAAGTTAGTGTTATCAAAGGCAAAAAGCGCAAAAAAGCTCTAAGGTCCGTTGGGGCTTTAAGCGCAAAGAGCAAATAAAGCGTGGGCTTTAATGAAAAAGGGCGCAATGGGAAAAAATGTAAAAATATGCATGTAGTCCAAGACTAATCATTATAAGCATGAATAACAAATATATGGACAAAGAAATTGAAAACAAATCACTATAAAGTGAAATATCAATTGTTTAAGGTCGCCTTTTCAGGATTACACTCATTGGCAAGGAAGAGTATGCCTTAGAGCTTTGATGCGACACTAAAGCGCCCAGAAAGCGAGGCGAAGCGCTCAACATGTTATGAGCCTCGCTTCAAGGCTTAAGCGCGCCTTTGACAACACTATATTGGGTACATAGATGCTGATTGGGCGGGAGCACCTTTTGATAGACGTTCTATGTCTGCATATTGTGTTCTAGTAGGAGGTAATTTGTTCTCTTGAAAAAGCAAAAAACAGAATGCAGTTGCTCGATCTAGCGCAGAAGAAAGGATATCGGGCCATGACTATGGCAACGTGTGAGCTAGTTTGGATCAAGCAGTTGCTCAAGGAGTTGAAGTACGGAGAAATTAACCAGATAGAGATAATCAAGTTGCTCTTCATATTGCGTCAAATCCGGTGTTCCGTGAAAGGACTAAACACATTGAGATCGACTGTCACTTTATTAGAGAAAAGATACTCTCAGGAGATATTGTTACAAAGTTTGTAGAGTTGAATGATCAACATGCAAATATTCTCACCAAATCTCTTACTGGTTCTCGTATTAGTTACATAGCTTGAGGGGGAGTGTTAAATAGTTAGTAATGTATAGTGTCCCACATCGGGAAGTATATACCTATTATCATGTTATCATTGTATATAAATAGGGCATTGTACAACACTTTAGACATAATTAATATAACTTTTCCGTGCTATACTTCTCACAAGATTATAACCAAATGGACAAACCCAAAGGTTAGACCAGAGCTAACGATACCTTGGCAATTAGGCATGGGCCGTTACAAGTGGTATCAGAGACTATACCTCTTAATAGCCTACAGACTGCTAATCATTAAATTCGAAAGGAGGTTCACTATGATACTTTCCTTTAGGGGTGTTCATCGGTAGGTACGGTACATTATTTAGTCATTCCGGTTCGGTAACTGGTAAAGTTGTTGCCATGTGACCAGGAGGTCACGGTTTCGAGCCGAGGAAACAACTTCTTGCAGAAATGCAGGATAAGGCTATGTACAATAGACCATTGTGGTCCGGCCCTTCTCCAGACCCCGCGCATAGCGGGAGCTTAGTGCACTAGTTCAGTACTTTTGGTATTTGGTTTCTTAAAATGCTATACCAATACCATACCGAATGTAATTAGGTATGGTTCGACTTTTCTCCTTTCGGTTTCGGTTAATTCAGTCCGGTAATTTCAGTTTATTCGACTTGAATATTAACTAGTGCATAGAGCCATAGACTATAATATTTTTAATTAAAGTACTCAATAAAAACATTCTAAGTTTACCTGACTATTGACAAAATCTTTGTCCAAAAACATTAAGTATCAACTACGAGAAAAAAGGTACATAAAAAAATAAATTTGATCATTGAAATTATCATATTACTTGCTTAGAGTTAATTGTTGAAATTAGAGAATACAACAAGGACTGGTCTAACATATGCAACAACAATACAAGAGTAACGGAGAAAGAAGCACCCTAAAACCGTTGAAACATTACGTTAAACTGCTTTGCAACCTTGAGAGTAAGAATCCATTTTCCTAAAGAAGTACATTGGCTTTACTGTAAATCTCAACAGGAATGCCAAAGAAAAGTATTATTTAACTTAGTATGTTAATCAATAATATGTATAATGTGTAGTTTAGTATATATTTCAGTACAGTATTGGTATTTCGGTATCATTTTTTAAATACTAAATACCATACCTAATACTAAATTATTTTAAAAACTTAAACCAAATACCGAATACCATACACGAAAATTTTCGGTCTCGATACGGTAATTCGGTATTTACTATATTATGCACAGCCCTACTTTCCTTAGGCAAATCCCATATCTCAATAGGAAGGGAAAGTTAGAGGCCATAAAAGGCGAGCACACGATTTCAATTGTTGAAGCGCCTTTTGGACCAAAGCCCAGGAGGACAAAAATGTGAGGCCCCAAGGAGCGGACAATACCTTAGCAGTTCGGTCTGAGCCGTTATACTCTCCCTCTTAGCTTTCTTTCTTAGTTTCTCTCCATTTTGACGTTTTCTTTACCTTTCTATCTTCTCCCTTTTGGTACTATATCACACTGTGACCAAAATGTGAAGAAAAAGCATGGAAGACAAAAACGTGACCATTGATTCATGAGAATCATAGTAACATTTACCAGACCTTTGACACTATAGCTGCGAGAGTCTCTACATGTCCATCCATCAAATTAAAGATGCTCCGTCCTAATCTATAGGCTCCTAACCAGAAAATGTATTTTCCTTCTATTTGGTTAAATCCTGAAAAAGTTGGAAAAAAATGAAAAGAAATACTGTAGAGAAAGTCTTACCATTATGGCAGTTCAATGTCCACTGCACCTTTGATGCATCAGGATTAGGCAATGACACACTCAAATGATCAATGCTGGCAATTGGTGTTCTCAAAACAGAACAAATAGCCTGTAAAAATCAAGGTAAGTGAAAATTCGACAGCCGGGTAACCAGCACATTTCAGACTATGCAGCATTGCATTGCTAAAAGCATATACCTTCAAGAGCACACTACATTGCACCTGTGGACCCAAGACGGTGTAGACATCAAAAAAATCAGGTTCAAATGTCATTGATTGATAGGCAGATCTTGAGGAGTTGAGAGTGTGACATGTGAGCTGCCAAAAAAAAAAGACAATGAAGTGGGAACTTTAATTTCACATCCATTTTGATAGTTTCAGGTTTAAAGATGAGACCAATTTGCCCCCGTGTTATCAAAGGCGAAAAGCGCAAAAAAACTCTAATAAGTGCAAAGCACAAATAAAGTGTGGGCTTTAATGAAGAAAGGCGCGAATAGAGAAAAAAAATATAAATATATAATATATGTGCAGTCAAAGCGTAATAATTATTTATAAGCATGAAAAACAAATTAGGACAAATAAATTTAAAAAAATAACGATATAGTGAAATATCAATGGTTTAGTGTCGCCTCTTCAGAAGTACGCTCATTGGCAAGGAAAATATGCCTTGAAGCCTTGATGATGACATTGAAGCGTCAACATGCTTTGCGTCTCGCTTCAGGGCTTAAGCGCACTTAAAGCGTGCCTTTGACAACACTGATTTGCCCCTTGTCAAACGTTGTTGAATCATCTCCTCTTATTAAAATTTCACAGGGTTAGGGACCTTGTTATATCAGATACAACAACTACTACTACTCCTCAGTCCCAAATAAGTTGGGGTGGGCGATATGAATTATCATTTCTTTCATTTAGCTTAACTCATATCATCATCACCTTGTTATATCAGAGAATGATGCAATTTACTCTAAACTGACAAATATCTTAATTTCGAAGGGGGTTAGCTCAATTATCAAGAGTCTGATCCTAAATATGGAACCCAGCCCTATATATCCTAGGTACAAATCGGGACAATATTTGCTCCCCTGTAGAAGTTTGCAACTCTATTATTGTATTACTACGAACAACAACAACAACAACTCTCTGCGTTAGGTCTTTGCGACCGAGCTTGGAGGTGGGAATATACTTGTCTGATTTATGCGAAACCAAGCAATTTTATCATAAAAGTCACAAATTAAAGTGTGAATACATATGAGGTAAGTTGTACAAGTTTATATACAAGATCTTACATCCATTTGCTCGGTGCAAAAAAATGGGCACGGATAAGTTTTTTTTTCATGGGACAGCGGTGTTCATGCTTGGGCATCAATCAAGGTCCAACTTTTGTTTATTTTAGTTTACGCCTCATATGCCCACAACATAATCTGAAGCTTCTTTATACAACCTCGTTAATAACAAAACCCTAATTACTGTAAGAGCACGAAGTTATGGAGCAAAAGCAATCCCAAAATTACATTCATATACTTTTAGTTCTTCAGCTAACTTATTACAGAGCACCAAACACTAAGGGACTATCAAGGAAATTATAAAGTTATGATCAATTAATTGATTCTAAGACTCTGAAAAGAAATAAACATAAACCAAAGTAGTGTTCACCTGGGAAGGAGAGGCTTGAATGACAAGCTCGTTGCCAATGCGTGCGAGGCACGTGATGGATCGGGCGAATGTCTTCAGTGCATTCCCACTGAGTGTGAACTCCATTTCTTCTAGTTTCTACTACTCGCTGCAGATTTTGGGGGCAACCCTTCTGTCCAAAGGGCGGGAAGGGAAATTTGTTAAACCTCCAGAAGAGGCCTTTAATCATAATGACAATTATTATTGGTAGGGTGAAAATTATTCACATCCCGAAAATCAAACTCATTATCCAACTTTAAATAATAATATTTTCCTCCCCTAATCCTACACAATTTTATTTTGCCCTAGACATTATTTCCAATCCCCTCTCTATATAATACTAGTGAGGTTATGCCCGGGCTGAGCCCGGGCCCAACGGCTAGATGAAGCTTCACGTTAGCAAATACACAAACATTTTTATCTCCGTCGAAATTATCAAAAGGAATAGCAGAAGCAACAACTACATCTAACATTTTTGTTATTGTTCTTGCTAAAGAAAATATAGACTGTGTACTCAACTTTCAGCGAAGTTATTGACTCAATTGAACCAATTTTCACCTAAAGGTAGAGAGAATAACTCCAGAAATCTCCATTGCGAAAGCCACATTAGAAGTTCAGAACGCTTCGCTTTAAAATTCAAAATAAAGACATACACAGCGGTAAAAGTTTAATCAACCATTGAAGCTCGTCAACTACTGGTAATCCAAGATGCACTTTACATGAGAGTAATCATGGAAATACTAAGATCAACAGTCCGATATTCTAAACCCCGTCCTCTGTTGTTGTATCATATGAACAATTGATCACAAGCTTATACAATAACTAATTTAAATCTTTTGTTTCCTTCTTATATTTTGATATAGTAAACCCCAGCCTGCACTACTTCTCATCCTCATCAGAGCACTACTGTTTGTACATAACTGCTGACTCAATTAGCTATTTATCCTTCTAATCCTATGCATCTCTATTATCCAAAAATTTGGAAGACTATAGCAATTCTATCACCTATTTATTAGACTATGGAGCCCAAATTTTCCATGAAACCAGAGAATATAGTCCAAAGTTTTGAAGTACTACCCTTTGTTGTCAAAATTCGAAATACAAATCAAAGTGGCACCACAGATAAATGAAAGCTCGTTTAGAAACAAATAAACTGAAAGAGAAAGAAATTCTAACACAAACGAACTGCAGAAACTAGCAAAATGACCCAATAATTGTGCAGAAAATCGCGAAGACAGTTAAAAGAAGAAGCTGACAAATCGAACAACGAAACAAAGGTAAATGGTCAGGAAAAAGTAGAACAAAAAACGAAAATAAAATGAAGCTCAAATCACTTTCCTGTTCAACGTTTCAAGGATTTCTTCTTCTGCATCCAAACATCTGAGAACCTAATTTGCTATTTATCACTTCCTGCATGTCTCTTACTTTTAGCTATAGTTCATACCTCAACTAACAACAATCAGGAAACTAATTGCTAACCTTTATTTCTTCATTACTGCCATCCCCACTCACCAGTATCCAATTACTAAAACACTTCAAAATTATATCATTATGTAAAAAAAGATGTCTAGTAAAAAAGTTTTTGTAGATGATTATGAACCAAATTGCTTTCATCACCATGGAAGCTAACAGTCTTTTCATCCCTCAATACCTTGATTCTCATCTCACCCTCTTTGTTTGAGAACTAAAGTTTTCAGAAGGCAATTTCACAAACACATAGCAGGCCAACTGAAAGCAAAGCTGCCAAAGAAAAAGAAATTAAGATCTAGCAAACAATTGGTGATTCATTACACTTATTAAACCTAGAAGCAACACATGAACAAAGCAGAATGGGGAAGAGTAAGAAATGCCGTAGAAAAAACACATTAAACCCACCAAACATTACAAGAACTGGCATGTTTGTAAGGTAAATCATCACATCCTCAACCATCACTACATAGCTCCTAAATTAATAACATCAGCAAATATGCTCAAAGGGGCTAAAAGGATCTGTATCGGAATTGAATTCAACTCTAACTGGAATGGGGAACAACTCCAAACATACACTGATTTGGGTGAAAATCCCAAATTTTGTGATAGAGTAATTGAACAAATAAGCTACAGTATTAGCTACAAAATCAAGTAGCTGATGCAGCTTTGACTTGGGATTCAAGCCTACGCCTTGAATAATCAAAAGCATCATAGTAAAAAAAGCTGCTTTAGAAAGTTAAATTTGTAAATTCAGCACTTACCAGAGAGAGGAAGCAGGTCAGAATTAGAGTGCAATCGAGATGAAGGCTTAATAGAGGGAAAAGGAAAACACAGATAGATGAGAGAAGAAAGGCGTAGGATTATCCTGGCAGGTACTTTGCTGCTGTCAACGTTAAGCAGAGCAAAGAAATGCAGTGGAGATAGTATTGAAATGTAAGAAAATTCGAAGGGGTGCCTGGCAAATTCAGATGAACGTGTCAACAACACATGAAGTGACAAAATGAAGCAGGCATGTTGACCATCAAGTGCCAGCTTATCCTCTCTTATATATTATATATAATACTAGTAGGGATAGCCACCCAACATGAATAAAGCTATGCTATTTCAAATAAAGGTACACCAAGGATTTTCCGGTCGTTATGGGGTTACACCAAGGATCTGCGCTTAGCCCGTTCTTATTTGCCTTAGTAATGGATGCACTAACACACCATATTCAAGGGGAAGTGCCATGGTGTATGTTATTCGCTGATGACATAGTCCTGATTGATGAGACGCGGGACGGTGTTAACGAGAGGTTGGAGGTTTGGAGACGGGCTCTCGAGTCTAAGGGTTTCAGATTGAGCAGGACTAAGACGGAGTACCTGGAGTGCAAGTTCAGCGCCGAGTCGAGGGAAGTAGGCATGGATGTGAGACTTGGATCACAGGTCATCCCCAAGAGAGGTAGTTTCAAGTACCTTGGGTCGGTTATTCAAGGAGATGGAGAGATCGACGAGGACGTCACTCACCGCGTTGGAGTGGGGTGGACGAAATGAAGGCTAGCATCTGGAGTCCTATGTGACAAGAAAGTGCCACCTATACTCAAAGGTAAGTTTTATAGAGCGGTGGTTAGACCGGCCATGTTGTATGGGGCAGAGTGTTGGCCAGTTAAGAACTCTCATATCCAGAAGATGAAGGTAGCTGAGATGAGGATGTTGAGGTGGATGTGCGGGCACACTAGGATAGATAAGATTAGGAATGAAGATATTCGGGAGAAGGTGGGTGTGGCCTCTGTGGATGACAAGATGCGGGAAGCGAGGCTCAGATGGTTCGGGCATGTGCGGAGGCGAAGCCTGGATGCTCCGGTGAGGAGGTGTGAGTTGTTGGCTTTAGTGGGTACAAGAAGAGGTAGAGGTCGGCCTAAGAAGTATTGGGGAGAGGTGATCAGGCAGGACATGGCACGATTGCAAATTTCCGAGGACATGACCCTTGATAGGAAGGTCTGGAGGTCGAGCATTAGGGTTGTAGGATAGAGTGGTAGTCGAGCTTCTCCTTCTCCATTCTGGGGGGTGAAACGAGTTTGAGTAGGTTGGTCCTAGACGGCTTGTTGTTGATGTAGAGTTCACACTAACCTTACTGTTTCCCATAGCTCTGATCTTAGTTGCGGGTTATTGTTATTGCATGTCATCTATTTTATGGTTTTTAGGATGCTGTCATTATTTCTATGGTTATGTTGACAATACTGATGAATTGTCTTTTCTTTCCTTGTTTTATTTCCATCTTCCTGAGCCGAGGGTCTATCGGAAACATCCTCTCTGCCCTATCGGGGTAGGGGTAAGGTCTGCGTACACACTACCCTCCCCAAACCCCACTGAGTGGGACTTTACTGGGTCGTTGTTGTTGTTATTTCAAATAAAGGTACAGTGATAATATCTAGAAGGATGACCTTTTGCCCATAGGAGAAATAGAAGATTACAGAGTTATTACAGGAGCCATAATGTTAAAGTAATATGGCTTTCCAACAGCACCGGGTGATATGGATCTAAAAGATAGCAGCAATTACAATCGTTGTCAACAAGATGATGATGATGATAAACTATTATGTAAAATAGCACCAGGTGATATTACAATCGTTGTCAACAAGATAATAACTATTATGTAAAATAAAGTATACAACAGCATAAATTAGCCATTGACATAACTTTAGGAATCAAGTTTTCGTGAAAACACTTATGGATCATGGAGCACATTTGGTGTAGGCATGATTTTGTTACTTTAATGTGTAGACTGTAGTTAAAACATTATGCCTAAGAAGGATTTGACTAACCAGTTGTACACTATACTTTGAAAACAACATAAGCAGCACAGATGTAAAATAGGAAAAACTAAGGTTAAAAGACGCAACAAGATAAATACTGACTACTGAGCAAAACTGAATTTAGTGTATAAATTGAGAATGAGTCAATTTGCAAATCCTCACTAGCTGATTAGCTGGTACTTCAACATAGTTAATCTGGTTAACCCATCAAACTAAGCTTGGACAACTTTTTCTTAATAAGTAGTCAAGCTTGAAGACACTCTTCCTTTTGTTTTTCTTTTCCATGGTGTGTTTTCTTAATTTATTATACTCAGTTAGAGCTTGACTCAATAACCAATAGATGTACTGAATACACAGGATAACAACTTGAGGTCGACTCATAATCGGCTCAACTGAACTTGTCTGAGTTTGGTAAGACCAAGAAAACCACTGTAATGCTCATTTCCGAGTCAAGACAAGTTTGAACATCCTAAATATTTGCTCTCAGTTGTTATAGACCTTTTAGGCCTAATTTGTTTGCACTTAATGGAGGTCTGAATCTTAATCATTCAGATCTCAGACATTAAGTGCGTTTGTTTTTAAAGTCTGAATCTTAATTATTCAGATCTTAATTATTAAGTGTGTTTGTTTTATTTACTTCACAACCACTTAATGGGTCTGAATAGGTCTGTATGATTAAGATCTATAACAGAGACTTAATTTCATTAAGATGCTATCACATATTCATTATTAACTGCCGCCACGCCTACCATTATCAACTACCACCATGCCACCACCACCACCGCCACCCCACCACCACCACGCCACCGTCATCCTCAATCATAGCCTCCATTATCGACCATCCCCACCACTCCGGCACCATCATTCCCACCCACAATCAACACTCATCCGCCTCAACTACCACAACTGACCACCCCATCACCATCAATAACCACAGCCGACACTGTCCATCATTATAACCTACCATCACCCACCCACCACCTTCCTGAATCACAACTACTACCACCACCCACCACCACCATCCTCAATCATAATCGCCACAACTACCAATCACTACTAGCTACTAGCATGAACCACCATCATCAACCAAAACTACCACCAACCACCGCCTCTAGTCGGCATTCACCCGTTAGCCATCACCACCAACAACTATCATATTATAAAAAATTATATATTTTATTGATAGAATATTAGATTAGTTAGTATTTCATTTGAATTTTATGTTTATTAATTTTCAAATAAAGAAAATTTTTATACATTCAGATGTTAAAAATCAAACAGTCTTAATTATTTCTATTCAGATCTTAATACACATCTTAATATATTCAGATGTGTATTCAGATTTAGATGTCTTAATCTTAATACACATCTTGATATTCAGATGTGTATTCACATTCAGACCTCTTGATCTTAAAAAAAACAAATGAGGCCTTAGTACTATAAAACGCATCAGTAAATGAAGGAAATCTGAGCTACCATCATGGTCAGTATAAAACACATCTCTGTGTGAAGGAAATTTGAGCTTTCATCGCAGATGCAAGGAAGTTAAGTCAAAGAATACCATTCATCACTGATCACCCTTCTGCTAAATCGCTCTATTGGAACAACTATGGCACTATGAAAACAAATATGCATAACAAATTACTATAGCTCTCTGAAGAGGACGGTTAATATTCATTCTCAGCTTCAGATTCCAGTCGCATTAAGACCAAATCTCTGTTTCCTTCCCCCGTGAAGTACTAAATGTTATAACTTAAACTAAATTTAGGTGTTTCTTGTCACAGGTTCGAGCCGTGGAAACAGCCTCTTGCAGAAATGCAGGGTAAGGCTGCGTACGATAGACCCTTGTGGTCCAGCCCTTCCCCGGCCCCGCGCATAGCGCGGGCTTAGTGCACCGGGCTGCCCTTTTTGTTATTTCACTTGCTTCCTCATTCGTTACCTTTGCCACTTGAACTAAGCCCTGGGAACTTGAATTTGTGACCTAAGTCACAACTCCCTCAACCAACCTTTGTCACTTGAATTAAGAAATTTAAATTATTATTTCTGAGAATATTGTATTCGAATTTTCCAATAACAAATCGTTACGCCCAAATGCATAATTTGGTTGGTTTCTCAGTAACTGCAAATCTCTATCCCAAAATTACGCATCATATTCAACCTTTCATTCTATATTCTATACCATCTCCTTCCCCATGAAATTGAACCAATATAGCCGACAGCTATAGAAGAATGATTCACTATATTAAATCAAAACAAACGAGGATGAAACAAATTAAACAAAAATAATACTACAAAAGAGACGAAAGAAGAGAGAGCCATACAGACAAGAGAAGAGGAGTCGCCGAATCCGAATCGCTGATGCCGTGCCCTTTGCCGGTCGGAGGAGTTCCTGATTTAGCTGAGATATAGAGCCCGTTTGCATTAGCCATAAGGTTGAAGTGGGAAAAGTATTTTTAAGCGCGGAAACAAATTTTTTATAGTGAAAATTTTACACAAAGAACAATTCGGTACCTACTTTTCAATTTTATAGTTCATATTTCAAAAGGTTCTCGAAATTACTATTTAATTTTTAAAAAAGATTGTTCAAGCTTTTAAGTTAATTTCGAATCAGTAATTTTGACTTAAATATTAGTTCAACAAAACAAAATTCATTTGGATAGTAAAAAATTAGATTTTTAACAAGCTTAAATATGTGGGTTAAAATTCGAATTTGATTTTGTAAGAAATTTAGAGTGGGTGTTATTTAGACTTGTTAGAGATAGTATAAGGAGATTGTATATAAAAATTTGAAGTCCTTTAATGGAGATTTGGACTGGTTTTGAACAAGAATTGTAACTGAAAATCGTGGAAGAAGTTCGTTTACATACGCTTGTATAAAGGTGTATAAAAGTGTATAATAGTGTATAAGATGTGTTTATACACTCATATACGCTATTATACAAGATTATACATAATTATACAAAAAACTGACTCCGTCTTATTCCTTGCGTCTTTTCTAAAATTTAACTCAAATCTACTCCAAATCACTTCAAATTTAAATTTTGAACTCCTTTTGAATTTTTCAATCACTAAGGGTTTCAAACTAAGCAGGTCTAAGACAGAATACCTGAAGTGCAAGTTTAGCGCCGAGTCGAGCGAAGTAGGCAGGGTCGTGAAGCTTGGATCTCAGGTCATCTCCAAGAGGGACAGTTTCAAATATCTTGGGTCGGTGATTCAAAGGGACGGAGAGATCGACGAGGATGTCACTCACCGTATAGGGGCGGGGTGGTCGAAATGGAGGCTTGCATCAGGAGTCTTGTGTGACAAGAAAGTGCCACCTAAACTCGAGGGGAAGTTTTATAGAGTTGTGGTTAGACCTGCCATATTGTATGGGGCGGAGTGCTGGCCGGTTAAGAAATCGCATGTTCGGAGAGTGAAGGTTGCGGAGATGAGGATGCTCAGGTGGATGTGCGGGCGCACCAGGTTAGATAAGATTAAGAATGAAGTTATTCGAGAGAAGATGGGGGTGGCCCCAGTGGATGAGAAGATGCGGGAAGTGAGGCTCAGGTGGTTCGGGCATGTGCGGAGGAGAAGCCCTGATGCCCCGGTAAGGAGTTGCGAGCGGTTGGAGGTGGTTGGCTCGAGTCGAGGCAGAGAGAGGCCTAAGAAGTATTGGGGAGAGGTGATTAGGCAGGACATGGCAAGAATGCGGATTTCCGAGGACATGGCCCTTGATAGGAAAGTCTGGAGGTCTAGTATCAGGGTTGTAAGATAGGGGCTTCTAGAACTTGTCGTACTTCATTCCCGGGGCTAGGTGGGGTTTGGTAGAGCTCTCCATAGATGACTTATGTATTGTATTGTGCCCCCTTATGGTAGTTACTGGTCGATATTATTGCATGCCATTTAATTTATGGTTTTATGTTTAGATAATTATTTATGCGATTTCTGCTGGAGTCACTAATGCTTTTTTGATTTTGTTTTTCTTTTTCCTTTTCCTTTTCTTTCCTGAGCCGAGGGTCGATTGGAAACAGCCTCTCTGCCCTTTCGGGTAGGGGTAAGGCCTGTGTACGTATTACCCTCCCCAGACCCCACTTTGTGGGACTATACTGGGTAGTTGTTGTTGTTGTTGTTTGAATTTTTCAATCAATTGGAACAACACCCAATCCAAACAGCTAACAAACTCAAAAAATCCCATTTTTGAAAGCAAAGCTTTGAATGGCATTCAATGGTGGACTTATACTATTCAATTTTCTTATATTGTAACCAGGTGACAGGGGGAGAAGCAGAAAATACACGACCCCTTGAAGCATATGCAGAAGATGTGAGAAGAACAGAGAGTGAAAGCAATGGTTGTGAGAACACAGATTTAACTCCATAGCTTTTAGAAGCAATGGTTGTAAGAACACAGATTGAATTTGCTAGTTCTTTCAAAATATATACAATATGGGCTAGGTCGGGTAAAACTTAAAACACATGGGCTATTTTTTGTTATGGTGTGAAGTCATGTGCATTTTCTTGTAATTATTTCTTTTTTAAATAAGCATTTACTGCGAGGTGCTGAAATAAAACGCTGATAAGTTGTTCTTTTATGACTAAAATATCCTTAAAAGCTTTACAAAAGATTATAAATTAAAATATTTCTTTGTAAAGAAAAAGATGAACAACGAATATGGAATGAAATGAAAGATAGAAAATTTATTTTGGGAAAAATATTTTGTGAATTAGAAAATATTATTAACGATAAACTAGTAAAAGGCTTGGTCAAACTAAAAGTGCTTATAAGCTAAAAAGCCTTGGCTTATAAGCACTTTGGGTATTTACCAAATACGTAGATAAGTCAAAAGGTGCTGATAAGCCAGTTTGACCAGCTTATAAGCTTGGCCAAACACCCTCATAGTGGTTTTTCTATACAATTTTTGATATATATCCTGAAATTAGTTTTTTTTTTTTTTTAGAAGGGCCTCTAGTTGTTCTTCCTTGTATTTATATTAAAATAAATAGCTTTATTTTAGAGTTAATACCCTCAAACCCGCCTAAACTATACGATCTTTATCAGTTCCCTACCTAACTATCGAGTGTCTCCAAAACCCTCCTGAACTATATCCCCCTTCATAATAAAACTCTCCCCTCTCAATTTTACTAGTGCGTATGGTACACACTCTAAATAAATTTTAAAACATGCCATGTGACATGCCACGTGGATAATTAATTACCTTAATCTTAAAACGAGCTTAATTAGCATACATTAATTTAATTACGTGGTAAAGATTAAAAAGGGGATTTTAACTTACTAGTCAATCATTTCTTCTCAGTAAAAATGGTCTCTTTGATCTTATCCGAAAAATTCTCTCATCGGAGATGGGAGACACCTTCAATTTCTTAATTACCTTAATCTTCTAGTTGCTACCAACGATTTCTCTTCCTAGTGTTGCTGCTATTTCGAATCGGAAGTAAATTTCGAGTTTTGCTGGTGAATCAGTGTAAAAAAATAGGGTTTAGGGTACTGAAGATTCATTTAGTTCTGAAGATTGTTTGAAGATTTTGAAGATTATTAAAGAAGATAGCTTCAATACAGGTCCTATTCTTTATTCGTTGTTATTTTTGTTGCTAAATTATAATAGGTAGGTGTTACGATTTAGTTCGGAGTAGAAAATTTTGGGTCTTTTTTTTGAGTTGTTGCATCTTTCTGATTGTTGATGTTGGTTTGTCGAATATATAGTTTGTTGTTAGTTTTAGATTTCGGGTCTTTTTATGTTAGTTTAATAAGTTGTTCTATTTATTTTGCCTTATTTTTTGTTGCTTTTTTTATTGTTATTTTAGAGTAATGGCAGACAAATATCTGAATTTGAGATTTCATACTGGTGGTATGCTTGTGAGTGAGGTAAGGCCAGTTTATGTTGGGGAAAACATTGAATATGCCTTTAATATGGATACGGACAAACTATCTATTCCACAAATTGTTGATTATGCTAGGGATTTTGGGTTTACCAATGTAGGAAAAATGTATATTGTACCTTCTAAGGGTGGCAGTTTGATGGAATTGAAAAAAGATAGGGATTTGTTGGTACTTGCTGATTTGTTAAGTAATAATGATACAATAGACATTTATGTATGCCACGAGGGAGATAATGTGGTCCAGAATAGCCATGTGACTAGTAGGGTCATTGAAGAATCTTTCAGCAGGGTTGTTGAGGTTTCAATACACCTTTAGGTTCCCAAATTGAAAATATTGATTATAGTGGTCAAATAGAACCCCATGAACAATCACATGTTGTAGAAAAAACTTCCTAGATACTCCTTAGTATATGAGAATGATTCTGACATGGAAGATGAAGATTTAGAGGAAGATGATACAGAAGTTGTAGGTGATGCTAAAGATAGTGATAAATCAAGCAGTTCTGATGATGAAGAGCATGAGCCTGATTATGGTAGTGATGTGCATGAAGAGTTGAACATAATTAAAGAAGATTTGATGGCTTGTAAGAAGAAAAAACGAACACCAAGAAAGAAAGTTGTTGCTGACTGTTTTCTTGGACCAGTCGGGATAGATCCAGGTTTTGAAGGCATAGATAAAGGGAAGAAAAATGTTTCTGGTAAGTTAGTTGGTGATGAGCCTCTTTATGACAATTCAGATACTGATAGTTTTGAGAGTGACAGTGGGATTGGGAGTGGTAGTGAATCAAGAAACAATAGTGGTAACGTGAAAGCAATGAAGGTGAACAAGAGGTTAATGTATGATCCAAAATGAAAAAAGGTGATTTGGCAACTTAACATGGTCTTTGAAAATGTATATAAGTTTAGGAGGGAAGTTGTCACCAAGTATGCAATAGATAGAGGTTGTGAGCTAGAGAAGATTACAAATGATAAAAACAGAGCTATGGTACAATGCAAAACTAGTGGATGTCCTTGGTTATTGTTTGCAAGCAGAGAACCCAAATTTGTTAATTTCATTATTAGAACTTATAATCCTAGGCATAACTGCAACACGACCAACACAAATTCAATGTGCAGTACCAAGTATCTTGTCAATTACTATAGAAGTAGGATAATTTCACAGCCGTGCATAAAAGGTTGGGAGATGCAAGATTTGGCAAGAGAGGATTTGGGTTTATATGTTGGGAAATTTGTTTGAAGGCTAGGAAATACGTATTGAAAGAAGTGATGGGTGATCATGTGAAGGAGTTTGGAAGGATTTATGATTATAGAGATGTGCTCCTTCAATCAAATTCAGGGAGCACATGTGTGGTAAAAGTGACAGATTCTGAAGATGGGAAAAATTGTTTCACTCCTTCTACATTTGTAACTACCCGGCCGGTCGTTTTAAGAATTTATGCCCCGATCCTCTATTAACTGCATTCCCCATGTTCGTTTCTGCTATTGTGAGTTGCCGGGAGGATTTAATTGGAGTTTCGGAGAGTTTTGGGACACTTAGTCCCTAAATGAGAGTTTAAGTTTTAGAATTTGGACCGTG